ATCCCCATTAGGCTAGGTCACAAGTAAGCGCTAATTCTACATCAATTTTCCAAGTTTCCCAAATTTCTTTAAAACTATCTTTAACACCTTGACGACAGCGCGGCAACTAGGTTTGCCGCGTTTTGCACGCCGCAATGGACATTGTGGCAACTATAGTTGCCACACCCTTTACATTCAGTTTTTTCTTGAACGCGCCATTTCTTCCCAGGTTTTTTGTGTTCATTTTTTAGGCCATACCACAACATAACCAAGAACCACGCGGCTTATAGAATGACCAAATATTCTTTAGTTTGGCAGAGGTTTTTCGGACCGGACGAAAATATCCGTTCAGTTCATTCCTCATTTTCTTTCATTAACACGAACATGTAGATAAAAAAGAATATTAGAAGTGAATACAAAGCTACTCGTGTGGCAAGATATGTGTTTTTACCGAAACAACCACGTCCAAAATAATTTTGAAATCACTAAAGCAAAAGTAAGTGAAACTTGCCTTTTCAATGCTGTAACACATCATTCGACCGCACTTTCACATGTGTACCTTCCAATAAGTTTGACACACCGAATATCAGTGAAAACATTTTGTCGCATCGAAGTATTGCGTATTTAAAGCTCAAAATCCACAGATTTGTTGTGAGGCGGCGGCGCTCGCAGAAATCGCTCTGGTCCCACGCGGCCAAAAATGCCAAAACGCGCGATGTCGTCAACGTGTTAATAAGCGCCATTCCCCACACTGTCTCTAGCCATCCTCTGTTTAACGCAGTTGATGGATTCATCCCTCCAGAATTACGCAGTGTTCGACGTAAAGCATGTGAAAGTGGGGTCTCCTTTCCACTCAAATGAGTTTTTCATTCGTTGCTTTGTCATTGTGTACCACTACGTAACGACTACATTTCTAGAGGACTAAGTGAAAGGCTATTCTCTTATGGTTAGAGGATGCCCCGAGAATAGGGAGACAAGCTGTTGCCTTGTCAGGTGCCTATTCTATGTTTACGATTTCATAACGGCTCCGAAATACATATTCCTAACATGACCAGGCTCTTCATCTAGGAGGATACAAAGCTTACTCTCTGTTTCAGAAATCCAGAAGCGCACCGAGTCCAGACCGCACACCACAAGTGACGACGGCCTCCAAGCGAATCTTGTAAAGATGTAAAGAATGTATGTAAACTTACCTTTGTTGTTCGAGTTATCTGTATGTCTAGGCTATCTATCGCCTACTTGCTTTCCTCAATTCAAATTTCGCAATTGCCCAATACTGATTTCCCGCGCGGAGCTGCCGGCCAGAGCTCTCTCTTGATCTGTGTCTATATGAATATGTTACTCTCTTGCACTCTGTATATCTGTAATCCCTCCTCAGGGTCAAAGCTATAAATACCGGTCAGATCTCTTATGGCAGCTTCTTGCTCCTGTCGACATCCGTCATCTGCTGGTCGGTCGCTAAGCGCCTATTTTGTACTCCTACTTGCCGAAGAATAAAGTGTGAGTAACTATTCACTACCGAGCTACAAAGGAAGGGACCTCAATCCCTAGACATCTGAAAAGGGGATCCGAGATGGCAGACCCAAAACGGGGCCGACGCACCGCGAACCCTTACATTCTGGTAATTTTTGATTCAAGTGATAGCTGAAAGTTGGTGAAATGGAAGATGTAATTAGTGACAACTGATAGAATACAACTGCAGGCTATCATTTCATTGGCAGAAAACATTTACATTTTGTGGAAGGCCGTCGTCACTTGTGGTGTGTGGTCTGCACTCGACGGCTTCTGGTTTTGAAACAGAGGGTGTATTTCATAGTGCCAGTCTAGCTCGTGTAAGCCGTGAGTTCCGCCCATGAAAAAGCTGGAGATGTGGGTGAAGAGCACGAATCAAGAGAGCTGGTTTCACACAAAAATGAAGAGGCGTGTCAAAAATGTAAGATCCCTCTAAGCTAATGTTAAATTTGTGGTAGTGATTAGAAATAGGTAAACTAAGACTTCAATTGAAGTGAGACTATAAAGTGAAATAGGCTCCAGCCGAATTTCTCACGAACATGGACACATCTCAAAAAATACTGAGCGACATGAGGGAATAAAGGGTAAAAAATAGATGAAACTACGACGTTGCTCTGTTCCTTTGTTGTATCATGCGTTTTGGTTTCATAAAGGAACGGCGGCATTTTTGAACGCGGCAGCGGTGAGTGACGATGGCGCTGCTTACGAGTCCAAGAAGGAGATCGCG